CCCAGCCCCACCAGAATCCTGGAGGAGCACAGAGCCACCATGGATCTGGGGAGTCACATGGGGCTGGAGGAGAGGTGTCACCCAGCCTGAGTCTCAGAGGAATGAAATGTGTGGGACACGGTGACGGGCGACTTCAGGGCCATGCAGCTGGGCCTGGGCAGGAAGAGCGAGGTCTGGACCACATTCCCTGGGGAGCAGATGGCAGGCGGAAGGGAGAGTGTGCAGCATCTGCTTGGCTTGGTGTGCACCAGGAGAGGTGCTGTTCCCGCAGGAATGTGAACCAGGAGTGATCAGAAGGAATGCAGGGAGGGAACAGGACTGGAGGGAGAGGAAGAGGAAGACCGGGCAAGAGCTCCAATGTGCTCTACAACATAGAGTGCTCGTGAGTTTAAACTGCCTTCTTCCTCCAAACCTACTGGGTAGGAGGCATCAGACCCACTAGGTAGTAGCCGTCAGCCTGCTAGGGGCTCACCATCATCAGGAGGAGGGAACACGTTGCTTTTTGTAAGCAGTGTTGACAAAGAAGTTGCAAGTTCTAAATGACAAGCAGCCGGTGTCGGCACAGTAACCGCTGTGATACTGCCCTGAAGGGAAAGTTCCCTGCACCCCTGCCATCTCTAGAGGTACGAGGACACCTGTCATGGCTTTCTCAATCCCAATGACCCTGAAGGGAACCCACTTGGATTTCTGAACAGAATTTTCCCGGACAGAATCCTAAAACCTTTAGGCTGGATAATCTCTAAAGAAAGGCACGTTAGAGCCATTAGATGATGAAATACTCTCCATCCATGTTCAAAACACTGACTCTGGACCTGATTGAAATGAGCCAGCTCCGGCTATGGAAGGGATGGTGTGTGAGCACTCAGAAGAGACGGGGCCACCAGAGGCCGGATGAGCACCTGCCCCGCATTCCAGCGGGGCTGGGAGCGGGGAGCCCTGGCCTGCAGCTGAAACCACAGGCCGATCCAGTCCTCCAGTGGCTCTGTTGTGTGGGAAGCCACTGAATTAGAGGGGGGAGTGCACACTCCAGGAGGGTTGGAAAGGCTGGAACGAAGAGGACATTTCATCAGGGCCACTGTAAACTCTTCCATGTTGATTGTAAAAACTCATTCACAACACATGCTGTGAGCACTGTACTCTGACTGGTGGGCAAGGAGAATATCAAAAATTACTAGGGTTTGTGCTCAGCTCCGCTGAAGAAAGGATAATAAGAAATCATAGGTGTTTCGGAGAAGAGAATCCCCTGCAAGGCTTTAATCTAGAAATTATACTGACAAGAAGTGGTTGAAAGCTTAGCGAGTGTCACCTGGGGTAAAGGGAATGGAAGCCAAGCAAGGGGAACGGCAGCAGGGCGGGGCTGGAATGGCTGGTAAACAGTCCCTGGAGGTGTCAGCATGGACAGATGGTGTGGGCATAGGGACCCAATGGCAGAGAAGGAAGATGCTTCTCACAGTGAATCTGGGTGCAGCTTCCTGTCTACTGGGGATCGGACTGTACCCACTTGATGAAGACAAGGGACCAAGAAAGAGAGGCATGGAAACGAGGGGAGAGGCCATGTCAGTAGCCGGCCGAGGTCCTGGGAGCCCAGAGGACCGAAGCACACAGGGCCCCCTGAATGTGGGCAGTGTGTGGAGGGGCTGTATCTACAGAGGACTTTGCAGGAGCAAAGTCTTGGGTCTCTGCAGAGTCGCAAGCACCAGAAAGAGAGGGTCACAGGCCACCAGGGAGAGGCGGCCGAGCTGGAGAGACCGTGAGACCGCACGGAAGCTCCTAGTCGGCTGGACGTCCCCACTTACAGTGAGGTCCTCTGAACATGTCAAAGTGCAGGTGAGACTCAGATCTGTCCCCTTTCTGCACCACAAAACCACTTAGGCGGCCGAGAGAGCAGAATTGGGTCAGCCAGGGAAGAGGATGCAGACTGAAGGGAGACCTGAGCTGTGGAGAGGACGGAAGCAGGGTTCCCGTGGCCGTGGGGGTGCAAGGCGGCTCCGCCAGGCAGGTGCTTGCTAGGTAGCATTGGCCGCCACCGGGGTGTCCTGCAGCCCCAGCTCAGAGCCCCCGAGGCTGGCGTCGGGTGACATCCGTCTAAGGCACCAGGGAAGGGTCACAGGACATGGATTCGAGAAGTTTTCATTGCCCTTAAGAGTCTGTGGTTCCAGGATTTTAAGGAAGAATTTTGCTAACCTGTCTCAGATTCTCTCCTCACGCCTAGAGAAAAGGGTGTCTGCGATGAAATTCCCTCCTTTTCTCTTCTCCATCTTCTTGTATGGACATCAGTCACCCCCAGGCCTCTCATCTCTGCCTGGGGTCTCTGCCAGATTTGATTCTGATTGTGCCTCCCAACAGCGCGACCTGGTGTCCTCCCCCTGCCCTGCTGGGGAGTTCTGCGTCTTGCCCTGACGCTGCATGCCCTCCACACTGTCTGTCCCGTCCGCTCCACCCGAGCTGGGCTCTGCGTCTGGCAGGTCTTCCAGTGAGGGAGCCGCCCACCACCCTCTGTCCTCATACCCTCGGCCTTGGGTCCCAGTGCCCGAACTCCCCGGCCCACCACGGCCTCCGCCTGCCCTGGGCCCGGGTAAAAGCTTTCAGAGTGCAGGCAGCAGCCCAAAGTCACCCGCCTGCGCCCACAGTGCCTTGGCCACACCCACCACCGCCCTGGCATCTCCCCCCGGTGAAACTGGCCTCCTCCTTCTGCCCTGAGCAGATTCATCACCCCAGCACCAGGAGCTCCTCTGCATGGCGTGCCCTGCTCACGCTGGCTGAGGCCTGGGTCCTGTGTCCCTTCCACTGGGAAGTCAGCATCACTCAGCCCTCCAGCTGGGCCCAGCCTGACACCCTGGGCCCTGAGGGTCGACCTTCGCCTCCTTCTCGGAGGAGGGAGGCGGTGGGAAGCGTGTGGGTCTCAGAGGCTGGGCTCCTCTCCCACCTGGCTGCTGAGCGTGCCTGGCACCTGCTCTCCTTGCCTCTCCGGGGTGCAGTGGTCCCCTGGCAGAGGCTGGCATTAGAAGGACTCGAGCCAGCAGGGCTAAAGCAACAGCAGCGTCTTCTACCCGGGGCGTACTCGGTGCCCCAGCCTGCCCAGCCAGCCAAACCCTACACTGTCCTTCAGAACCCCAGCTTCTCGGCCTCGTCAGTGTTGAAAGAAGTGCATTTCCATCAACGGGATTTCTTCCTAGAACTTCAGGTGAAACCAGAGGAGGGTGTAGTACCCAGGACAGAAAGCAGCGGGATGCACTCTCGAGGCAGGCACAGGGCAGGGTTGACTGGGCGGCTTTGGTCACCCAGGCCTGTGGAAGAGATTGACCCCGGGAAGGGGCCTGCTGACGAGGGACACCCGTGCGGTGAGGGTGGACCGCCGGACTCTGCGGTTCCCTAGTGATGCGGTGCGAAGAGATCACAGGGCCAGAAAGCAGTGATGGGCCAAGAGCAGCCAGGTTTGCATCTGGGCAAGAGAGGAAGACAGCTGACTCCCCAGAGCCTCGCTCCACACCCGGAGTGAGCCAGGTCACCGGTGTGCTCCTTGGAACCTTTCCCCTTCTCAGAGTATGGTACCAGCTGCCCGCTGTCTTGGTGCTATGGGAAGCTAATTAATCCCCAGCTTCTGGCACTGTGCGTGTGTGTGCGCGCGTATGCGCGTGTGTGTGCGCGCTGCATGCGTGGGTGCATGTGTGTGCGTGCGTGTGCATGTGTTAAATATATATGTGTGTGTGTTAAGTCATGCAGGAAGAGGAGAAATTCATTCTATTTACTTTGTCTTTGCAGATAAATATAAAGACACAAACTGGAAAATTAAATGCTATTTTGCTTCCTTTGCTTTTCCGTGTGGGTGGAGTAGACAGGACCTGCCTCACTTCCCAGACTGAACCCATCTGTGCACAAAACCAGGGCCCCATGTTGAGGTCACAACAGCAGCTGGCGTGGCAGACCTGTGGAGTGGGGCTCCAGCCCTCTGGGGTGCCTGCCTCCCCGGGGCGGGGGTCATTCTGTGCCCGCCCCAGCCCTCACTTATAGTGCGCTGATCCCCACCTGGAGAGGACCCATCTACACATCAGCCTCGAGGATGAGGGGAAATGCCCGGCCGGACACACGCATTTCTTGACCGCAGGGCCACACACACGGAGTGGGAGGATCCGCTGAAGGCAGGGGCTGGGCTGAAAATGGAGTTTCCTTCCCACCAAATCCACTTCCAGGAAGTTCTTGTCCCTGAACAGGACTTTCCACATGAAGTCTTTTCAGAGAGCCATGAAAGAACAAATGAAAAAGGCTTTTGTATTGGAAGAAAGGAAACATTCATTTTTTGCTAGGATACAATGTGTAAAAAGAATACGTTATATTTTAAGAGAAATGAGAATTTCACAATAATGCCACCCACAAAATAGATTTCTGTCCTCTACACTATTTTTATGCAGATTACTTGTGCTAGGAGTGGTAACCAGGTCTTGGCAAACAATGCCCTCAGAAGAAAAAAGTGCAATTTTATTTCTGAGTTTGAAATAAACATCTACATGTTCCCCAAGCAGTAGTATTCCATTTATACAATTCTTTGACCAACCTGTGGGATCAAGGACGCCATAGAAATGCCATTTCAAAATGACCCACAGAGCCATAGGCTTTTCATTTCTGGTGTTTTGGTAATGAAGAATGGGTTTGTACAACACAGATGGCTTACTTTCAAATGTTAACTTTCTGACTACTGAAAATGCAATTGGGCTTTGCAGAAGCGACTAATAAATCAATTGTAATAAAACCTGTAATAGATGTCTGCAATTTTATGGCCACAGATAGCAATGGCTCCTTTCTATAATAAATAAAAGATATGAAAGAGTCCCTTGGAGGAGAAATAAGGAATCCATAACCCCTAGATCATTAGAAGTGATCTGGCTATGCAGTTGTATATAAAAATCACCCTTGTCATCTGATCATTGAAAATGTGTTATAAATGTCTAAGTGAATGTTAATGAGTTATTTATCACATACTAATATTAACTTTCTTTCCCCAGATGCCAAGAGTTTAGCTGAAATGCTCATGAGGTAAGAACTTCGCCCAGCTTCTGGGATCTCATGTATACAGAAAAAGCAATTTCCAATTTGCCTTGGTGATTTTCTTGGTGATGATAATTTGAAATCAGTAACACATTTCACTTCAACCTACAATTTCCATTTCTTTCCCCAGACGTTCATATAATGCCTGGTTGGCTATGTAGATACCAGATAACATTTTGTACCTCTGGCAGCATGCACCTGCCACAGGCTGTTGCCCTGTCGACTAAGCCAGACCAATAGAGCATTTCCGGTTAACCTGGGAACAGAGCAGCACGTTATATGAAAAAGCTTTGTGTCCTCAAATTTTGTCTATTTTCTACCTAGTCCCTTCTTCGATCATTCGATTTCTTTACAAGGTCTGACCTCCACACTATGTGAAAACGAGCGTGAGGTGAAGAGTGTACACATGTGCATCCGTTGACTGGCATGCTACTTCTCCCTCGTGTTTAAAGTCTTTTATAATTCAGTATAATGATCAAATGAAGGGTGAAATAGGGAAATCGGTCTAGGAAATAAGTAAGGAAAAGTCCAGGGCCCTGACGGTGAACTCCAGATTGCCGCCTGGCAGCGACAGTCAGCTCTCTCTTTCTCCCATCTGCACGTGTGACTCGAGTGCACGCTGTTGGATGCAGACACAGAGGGTGAGCACCGCTGGTATGGGATTACTTTCCCAGGACTTCCTCAAGCACACTGTGTTCTGGAGCAGTCGGTGGAACAATGCGATGGGGAAAGCAGGTTAACTCCAGCATCCTTGGTGCGGGTAACGAGATGACTGCTGATGTCCTTTGCCATGGTTAGGAAGGATACAGACCATTTGTTTTTATGCACGGTGGGGTTGGGAGAAAAGTAGGAGTGGGAATAAAGAGCATTGGGGCCTTGTGGAATTTGGGCCCCTGTCTGCACCCAGTGGAGGTATCCAACAGAGGGCCAGCAGCAGGGCTACCCACAGACACACTGGCCTCCTCCCGGGTGGGGATCTCATCCCAGCTCAAGTGTGCACAGGAAAATCTGCAGAAAATGGCTCGAGGCCGTGCCCTCCCTCATGTCGGGACTTGTTTGCTCAGAAAGTAAGAGGACGGCTCTGCCGCAGGCCACACGTCATATCCAGACACGCGTGTGCTTGTGCTGCGCACATCTGGTAGAACATCTGGAAAACAAAGAAGTGAGAGTCACTTGATTTATGGTACTGATCTACCTAACCAAACAGATTTTCTCATGTAGACTTTCAAACTATGAATTTAAATTTATGATATTTAAAATTAGGAGATTTTGTACAAAATTCGGTTTTTCAGCTTCTCTTAAAAACACTGTGGCCACTCGAGCGTAGCCGAGGGAAGGAGGTGATGTATGGTGGCCCTGCAGGCTGGGTGCCTGGGGTCCACTGTGGGAGCCTGTGCCCCTGGGCCACGCAGTCCACTTGGCCAGTCTGGCCCTGCGGGGCTCCGCAGCTTCCCACATTGGAGCGGGACCTGCACCTGCTTTCCCTGCCCTGGGTCCTGCTCCCTCCCTCCCGGCCCAGCCACCCCTCTTCCATCCCCAAACCATCAATCACATCCCTGTCCCAAGGCTGGGAAGCCATGGTCTCCATTTTCTGCCGTGTGCCACATTTGTCCAGTGACGCTTGGCTTTCCACTTCTCTCCGTGTCCCAGACTGTCTCCCTGCCCCTTCCCTCCAGCCCGGGGCAAGACAGTGTGGAGAAGCATCCTCTTTATTAGCAAGGCCATCACTGTGGCTCAAAGGCCACCTGTTGCTAAGATAGGAATTAATAATGGTCTTCCCAGCTGCCAGCTGCCAAGGTGAAATTAGGAACGTTGAAACTGGCAATCACCACCACTTCCGAGGGCTAAACCTGGTTTCCTCCAGAGGGTGGAAGTGATTGGCAAGGAAGCAGATTTCCAAGCTCCTCAGATGGGTGAGATTAATTCAGAAGCAAAAGCAAAGCTCTGAGTCATGAAGGCTCGGTTCAGTCTACGTTTGGCAGCGTCATTGGCCAGGCAGCCAGAACCCCGGTCACTTCATACACTGAGGGGCCGGAAGCACGCGTCAGCCCTGCCCAGCAGCGTGGAGGTCTGAGTCGCTGTCCCTCGCCCCTGCTGCTGTTTTCTCTGCACAGCTGAGGACTTGGCAGCCTGGTGCAGGAGAAGACGGGACCATGCACCTATGTTCGGGGCCGAATCTGGCCGAGGGCTGGGGCTCAGACCCTGAGCCAGGCAGCGTTCCAGTCCGCATCCCAGTAACCTCGCCTTAAACTGTCAAACTCCAAGCTGTCCCTAGCTCTGCTGTTCTGAGCTCTGGGGGAATGGAGTCCTTAATTTCCAATCGCGTCCTACCAAGTGTTTGTGTGTGTCAGTGTGAGTAGCCATCCCTCACAGGAAAGGCCCAAGGACGGGACAGACACCTGAACCCCTCCTCCGGGGCCCCGGGCCTAGGCTCACGGACATCTCTCCATTTCCCCCAAGAGGCCCCAGGGAGGAGAGGCTTCACCCCCACTCCTACAGACAGGGTTCCCTTGCCTGTGTTGAAGCAAGGAGAGTTTTCTAAACAACACACCAGCCTTGGAAGAAGTGAGGCTGGAGCTCACCCGGACATGTCTAATGCCCAAGGTCAGTGTCAGTACGAGAGCTGCTTGTCGGCAGAAGAAAGGTCACCCTCCACTCATACAAGAAACCAAAATGCTCTTCTTTGATTGAGCATTTAAAATAAGTTATCTTCTCTGATAGGCATATATACACACACATATACATATATATGTAACACAAGTACCCATCCAGACGCTGCACTGGGATCTCCTCACTGACTGAGGTTACTTTACACTGAAAGAATGCTCTGTGTCATCCGGTGGGAGCAGGTGGGCCATGCAGATCCCTTAATTAGGTTTCTGCTGCCTCTACTTTAAGAAAATACAGCGTCGTAGTAGCTGCGAGTAATGTATTCCCTGAGCTGCAAAGCGCTGCTCCCTGTCAGCCGCGTATAGCTCCTCCCCATCACTGCCGTTTTCCCCAGGCAGCCAAGTAGTAACTGGGGGCCAAAGTCTGTCATTACTGGCCGGTACATTTAGCAAGGGCCTCTACTGTGTGGGAGACAACTTTACTTCCACAGCGAAATCATTTGGAAGATTTTTCCAGATTGCCAATGTAGTTTCTTTAAATGTTTTTTAAGATTTATTGCTGTTATGAAGGCCAGTTGTTACACTTTTTAAACTTTTTATTTGCATTAGTACCTGTTTGTGGTACATGATGAGTACATTCACCATGGGAAGTTGGTGTGTGTATGTAACACAAATTGTTATACTTTTCGAGATCACCCTTCATTTTAATAAATGCAACCAACCGTGGCAGCAATGCCCATATAATGAAATAACTTAGTTGAAACCCAGCTCTTTGGGCACACATCACTTAACCGTCACTGCACCCCCTAACATCATGATTTAATCAATGTTTACTGAGTGTTTCGTTTGGCCACACACTGTTGTAAGTCCTAGGGACACAGAAAGAGAGAGCAGATGAATGCATCCCCGTGGAGCGCGTGTTCCAGTGGGAGAGGCAGATAATGAATAAGATAAGTCAATTAAATACCTTTAATTGACTCAATTAAATACACCCGAGAGAGTCATAAGTGCAGTGGAGACAAAATTAAGTAGAGAATGAAGAAGGCTCAAGAGAAGTTCCACTGCAGGCCACTTGGGCCAGTCCTAGAGATGGTGCCCGAGTCCAGTCCTGCAGGAAGGGCCTGAGCCCACCATGCAATGCTAGGTACTAGGATGAGGACAGAGCATGCGTGCAGGCACAGGAAAGCAAGTGCAGTGTGAGGGGCGAATAGTTAGCCCTGCCATCTTGAGGTCCATTGGGCTGTTCTTTCTTTGCCTTCCCACTACAGGGCCTGGCAGCCCATGTTTGGAGGAGAGGGAGGAATTGACCTCCAGCCTTCACTGCCCTCGTTCATAAGGTGTAATCATAGTCTGTCTTTGTGCCAGTGCGGCGGTACACAGCGGTTATTTAGCTTGCTTCCTGTGTCAGTCTGGGAGTAGACCCATTGTTGCTTAAGTATAGCCTGTGCCCGCACTCATAGTTGTTTAATGGAGCAGCCGTGCCTGCCTCATAACTATTCATGATGAGCAGCAGGAACTAGCTCACACTGCTATTTTTGGTACAAGGACAAGCTCAAGTCCCTAGTGAAGTTTCTAAACAGATCTTTAGGATATTCACAGAGGAGTAGCTCCCCGTATGTTTTTGCAGAAATATAGCTTGTCTAAGCATGATATAAATGTAGACCCCACCCCGAACTCAAGTGCTTTTCATTTTATACAAGTATTTGAATCTCTGGATTCTTTCCTTTTTTTAACCACAGATGAAATGACAAGTTAAGTAAGTCATACAGAGGAGTATAGAGACCAGGTAAAAAATCAGGCCAAAATGCTTGAATTTGGGCTCTGCGTAATTAGCATGATCTAGGTACCTAACCCAGTTACTCCTCTGCAGAGGGAGAAATCTGGTTCAAGAGCAGATCTTCAGAGGAATATTGCACCTTTCAGATGTTACCTTGTTCATGGGGAAGTTTGTCCATACTCAGAGAAAAGGACATCACAGAATATTCAGGGTACTAGGAAGGGACGCAGCAGACAGACGTCCACAGGGCTGCTTGCGTGAACTTGACCTTCCTGGGATCGAGGTTCTGTCCACCATGTGGCTCAAGAGTGGGTGAGAGAGGGTCTGTGGAGCAGAGAGCCTGGAGCACCAGATGAATTGCTTGGTTGGGGGAAGTTACCTGAGACACAGTGTGAAGCTTTTCTTATTCCCTATTGAAAGCAACCGCCACTAAGGTGGACCCCAGGAACTGCCTCAAAGCAGTTGCTGGTGACCGCTGAGCTGGATTTACGGCCACCATAGAGCATGTCATGGACTGAATTATCCAGTGACAACTGCTGCCTATGGGGCATCTCAGTAAACATTATTGTAACATCTGGTGAATTCTTATAACTTTGTGAAGACCGAGCACCCATTCCCCTGATGTGGATTGCTGATTACAGCCTGTGTCGACTTTTGAGATTTCTACACAATATGAAGGTTTGGGAGGGGGTTGTTTTGTTTTTTACTGCAGGTTGTGACTGAATATGATTATACCATGCAGTTTTACCACCTATTTTCATTTACTTTTAGAGAGAGCAGTTCACTCGGAGGAGACTAATTTTCTGGTACACAAATGTTGAGACAAAGTTATTATAGTGATTATTTTTTTTCTCTCTCTACTCCAAAATGCATTATCAGTTAGGGAAATTAAGCTAATGTCAGGGATGCTAACAAGGTTTGTTTTGTTACTGTGTTTGATCTGATTTGTTACTGTGACAGAAGTAAAAGGACCCAGATATAAACACAAGTCCAGTAGTAAAACCGCCATCCACTGACCAGTGGGGGCACACACGCCCCTCCTCCTGCCAGGGCCAGAATAGCTCTCATCTAACGAGTGATAATGTTACTGGTTTGAAAATCACTTTTCATTTAGCTTGTACACCAGAAATACCAATTCCTAAAAGTTCCATTGGTAGATATTGAACCCATCTCTGTTGACAACTTGTATTTTTCTGAATCTCCTTTGCTGAAATTTAATAAATATCATTTGAATGGAAGAAAAACATCTCACCCCGGGAACTTTCTCCCCTCTCCTGCCCTCAGACATTTGCATGGTCAGACAACTCAGGAGTTCGAGTGCAGGTATGTGTGCCCGCAGTGCCCGGCATCTGTTAATGCCTCCTCCTCTTTTCTTCCCAGTAAGAACACCCGGACTTCAGATACTTTAAGCAAGCAACAACAGACTCTAAGGATGCACATTGACATACCCAGGGCACAGCTTCTGATTGAAGAGAGGGACACAATGGAGACCATCGGTAAGGTGCCCAGATCACCGCTGAGCCCAGTGTGGCTGCTGCAGCCACGCCTTCTCAGCCCAGATCCAGAGGCATAGAAAATACCAGATAGAATGTCGTGAATGCTCTGTGATCACAAAAATTTAGGGGAATACACGTTAGCAAATGTAGGGGCAAATTAGCTTCCAACACCTGGGACAGGAGTTCTCACTTCTGATCCCTTCGGGTCTTTTCTGGGGAGGTTAATGCTATTGCTCCAAGGAGCAGATATCTGTAATCCAATCAGACCAGAAGCTGGCACTGGGTGCCCTGTCCTGGAAATCTGATGAGGCCGGCCTCTGCTCAAGGTGTCCCACTTCCGGTGCCCCTACACACCCTGGACTTGGGAAACACTCAGCCCCCTCGTTTGGTTTTGGAATAGCCACTCAGATGTGTGTGGTTTGCCTACCCAGAGCCCAGTGGGCAGACTCTGGTGTCTCCCCACCCAGTAACCAGGAGGAGGACAGCTCCCCTCTGCCAGGGCTCTCTGAGCCCTGCTTTCCTAGGCTCTCCACACGCATCACCAGTTCCACCTTCCAGCCAGCTGCCACTGAGAGGAGGGGCGGCTTTTGCAATTAGACGCACACAGGTTTATACAGCTGGCCAAGGTCACACAGGCAGGAGCAGGGCCAGTGTCCCTGCCTGGCCACCCACATCACCACCAGCAGGCTGCTTCCAAGAAGCCTCAGCTTAGGAGTCCCTCCAAGCTTTCCAGGAGCCATGGAAATAGGCCCAGGCAGGGTCTGAGGCTGCCTCTTGCCAAACTGTTTTTGTTTGGGAGGGGTGTGCTGGCCCTGGGAACCAGGATGACCCTTTCCTGTGGCCTGGACATGGCTGTGTGGCTCCTACCAGGAGGACAGTGGTGGGAGGCAGGTGGGTGGCATGTCCTCGCCGCCCTGGCCCACCTGGCCTGGGGCCACCCTGACAGAACAGCCACCCGGGCTGGTCACTGCTGGGCTAGCACCACGGAGAGCGCCAGCTGCTCAGCGAGCAGCCAGCAGGCTTGTCCATCACTGAGCCATCCACCTCCCAGTGATGCCAGACAGGGGTCAGAGGCGTTTTCTAATTATTGGGAAAGTAGAATTGCGGTATTGACATGCTCTGGGCTCCGACTACAAGAATCCAATGTCAGTCTGCCATTCATTTGTGGGGGGAAAGAGTGGTTAACCTCCCCTGAGATTCCCACCCTGGCCCTGGCTTCAGCCTGCAGCCCACTGCCATGCTCCGGATGGGCTGCGGGAAGAACCCACAGTGCACCCGTGCTCTCCTTAATGAAAAACCAGTGTCACCAGGGCCCCTGGTGGTAGCCCCGGGTGTCAGGAGCTGTCTCCGTGCCAAGGCCACGCTTTGAGGGGCTCGGGGAGCAGCTGTGGGGTCAGCACTCCATGCCCAGCCCTGGCGCTGCTGCAGTACCGGCCAGCGAGGCAGCACCCGCGGGACGCTCACAGACATCCTGGCAGCCTTTCCCTTTTCTTCTCTGCCAAGAAATTTGATTCTGACTTCCAGAGGCTCCCTTTCCTTTCCTTTCCTGCCAGAGCCCGAGTAACTGGATTTTGTAGGGTTCACTCTGTTCGGGGCCTTTTTTGGGCACAGGAGCCTCGCTGTGCTGCTGCGACCTCCCCATCACCGTGTGGTGTCGGGCGAGCTGCCGCCTGCCCTGGCTGACTGATGACCTGGCACGAACATCACCCTGGGCTGCAGTCCCGGAAAACTGACGGGAATCCATATATCCTCGGCAGGTTCCCCAGGAGCAAAAGAGCTCTTAAGACAGTATGAGAAATGTCACAGAAAATGTAATTCAGATCCAAAGACAACAAAACAATGACTGGGCTTGGGCGGCGGTCGCTCCTTCTCCAGCTCCCGGAAGCCAGGCGGTGCCTCCTGTGCCTCCTGGGGCCCCAGGATGCTGGCAGCCTGACCAGCGGCTATTTTTGGAGAAGCAGATTAAAGCCTGCACTGGAGTAATCAGAGCTCTGGCGAGGTGGGAAGAAGAGGAACATTCCTCAGAAAGCAGAGGAATTGATAAGTTCTGAAGACTAACTGCTCTCCCCTCACTATTCCCCTCCAAACATTTGGTCAAGTTCAGCCCCAGACCCAGGCCCAGCACAGAGAACTGCAGTGTGGTCCTTCTAGAAGAGAGCTTCCCAGCAGCCAAAAGGACCAGGGAAGGCAGCCCCGTCCTGGGGGAGGGCTCTAGACTGCCTCGTGACATCTTTTCTTTGTAAACACTTGAATCCCAAAGTGCATTAAATCAGCAGCTACAATAAGAAGTGTTTGCTGACTGAAAAGCACACAACCCCAAATAGCAGCAAGACGATTCTGTGCATAGTGACTGCTCTCTGAGACCAGAAAAACTCTGAAGTCCTCCCCAGGTACCATCGCCCCATTTAGCGTGAGTGACCCCCTCATGGTGCCAGGAGTTTGGCTCTGGGTGGCTTCACACGAAGGTGCTGTTGTTGCTGTCACTGTGTAATTTTTTCTTTTTTTTTGGTACCGGGGATCAAACTCAGGTCCCTGTGCTTGCGCAGCAGGTGGCAAAACCACTGAGCTAAATCCCCGGCCCACTGTCACTGTGATTGAAAGTGCCTAAATGCATTTGCTTCCTCCTCCTCTGCAGATGATCGCTCCACGGTCCTGCTGACAGATGCTGATTTTGGGGAAGCAGCTAAACAAAAGTCCCTGACGGTGACTCACACAGTCCACTACCAGTCCGTGTCTCAGGCCACCGGGCCCCTAGTGGATGTTTCAGACGGTCGGCCGGGAACGAGTGAGTGGTCAAGTCCAGTTTCAAAGCGTGGGTCTTAGTGCTGAAAGCATGAACCCTGCGTCCCTGGCCAGTGCACATGGGGGCTCTTCCACTCTGGCCTGAGAGACAAAGGGGTCTAGTGATGTCATCACTCGGGGGAAATCCAGTGTGCTTTGTTTGATCCTAGCTATTATTACAACTGTGTCAACTGAAGCCAGTAACTCTTGGTATTGATTTACTAGGAAAGTGCTAGAAATTTCATGTCAACTTCATTTTTTTTTTTTTGACAACACAGGAAAAGGGGAAAGTAGCTAGCATTGCCCTGCTGGAAGAGAAAGATGGCATCATGCGTGCTACCTTTGTGACAGCCCTGCATGATGCCCAGTCACAAAGTAGATGTCATGGTTCCAGCTTTCCGGCTGACAAAGCTGAGCCTCAGCAAGTCAGACAAACAGCCCGAGGTCGACACATAAAAGTAGGGACCCCGAGATTCAGCCATAGATCTGTGCGTCGTCAGAGCCTAGAGGTTTTCTTCCTGGGTACGTTGAGAAAAATTCTAGTTCTGTCTAATCCAGAGATATAGTTGGGTTTAATTATTATATTTGCATCCATGATATATACAAATTAATTACAGCAATGAAATTAAATCCCCTTAAATGTATCTTGAACTTATTAATTAGATATCTTGCTTCTTCATAATTGAAACCATTCCTGGGTCTCTTTAAACACTGAGAAATTGATGTCTCGATTATTATCACTTTGGAAGCTTTGATGTCTAGCTTTTAAATCTCTACTCACATTGCAAAAACTTACATTCTTAGAGCAGCATGTTATAATTAGAAAAACAAATAGAACATTGCAGACTGCTCTTCACAATTCTAGTGCGTGAAGCAGTTGTAAAACGGGGTGAGGATCACGAAGGGAACTGGCTGGCTCCCAAATGACACTGTAATACCTGGGACAGAGTTTGCACAACTATTGAAATTCCTTTGGGAAAGTGTCTTGGAGAATGTGCTCCTCTTCTGTCTAACCTTACCCTTCCTTCCTGGAGAACGTCAGTACATTCTGAAGACGCCGGGGACATAGCTGGAGCTAGCTCTGCCAAGGGGTTGTCTGCAACATCTCTCTCCAGCCATTGGCTTCACCCCTCTGATCAGCCTGCTCTGGCTTCCAGCTACTTCAGGACACTGCTCTGATGGATTTCCGAGCCTCATTATGCTGTTAACTCAGGGGAAAGGTGACAGATCCTGAAGGTCTTCTAGATTGATTCATCCTTGGCTTCAGCTTCCTTTGGCCTATGCAGTATGGAAGCTTCTGGAAACAACAGGAGAGCAGAAAACAGAGCCGATGCCCCTGGAAGTGTTTCCCACCTTTTACATGCGTTAAAATACTGACTCCTGGGTTCCATTCTAGAGATTCTAGTCCAGTTGGTTTAGACGGAGGCCCAGGAGCCTGCATTGTAAGCAACCTCCCAGATGTGCTTCTCTAGGCTCCTCATTGAGAAACCTTCCCAAGTGTGCCAAAGATGTCCTGAGAGCTCAGGAGGAAGTGCCCACCATGCCCCCATCAGACCTCCATTAGTGCAGCGGTGCAGGATCCCCCCAGCCCACTGGACCCACAGCACATCAGTTCCTTCTGCCAGGTGCAGAGCCACTTTCCTTCACCTTCCCTCCAGTGCTCAAGGAGCAGAAAGATGCACAGAGGTTCATCATAGTTAGGGCCGGAGAAGAAGTGACATGGGGCTGCCAGGTACATGAGCGGGAAGCCCTGGAATAATGACAAGCGGCTTTGATGGCATTTAAAATGTCAGCAGAGACGTGGCCTGAGTCAGACACAGAAGCTGTAAGCCAGCAGAAGAGTCACTGCAGGCGGGATGCACCGGGAGGGCGAGCACCCAGGCTCCGGGCTGGGGAGCTGCTCGGCTGCTGGAGGTTTAAGAATTCATTCGTTCTGCATTCAGACGTGTGTGCTCAGGTCTCTCCCTTTACACACATGGCCCAGTGCTCAGCCACAGGGATGGCTGAGTGAAACACAAGAAGGCATCCATTTCACTCCAGAGGGGAGACTGATATTAAACAAGGAGCCAAGTGTAATTTCTACTTCTCAGCAAGAACTAGGCGGAAACAGAGCAGAATGAAGTGATGAAGCCGGGGGAGTGGACATCAGCAGGGCATCCCAGAGGAGCAGGCAGGACCTGAGGCCGGAGGGAGCAGAAGGGAAGCCAGGTCCCCAGGGTGCTGGGGGCAGATGCAGCCCTGGGGTGTGGTGAGCAGCTAGGAGAGCAGTGAGAGAAAGGAGGTGGAGAAACAGTGCCACCCTGTAGGCTCCCGGGGGAAGGCCGGCATTGTTTGGCACTGTGTTCTGAGAGTTCCGGGTACATCCTGGGGTCTGGCCTGATGTCCCAAGGAGACTCGAAGCTTCGGAACAGTGTTTCCCTCTGTGATGAGTTACACGAAGTGAAATCGACTTACAAGGCCAACCTCCTCAGATTCACGCATCCCCAGCCTCTGGAGCCTTCCCTTCCCCAAGATGGAATTATTCATTTATCATCTGCAGAACGCTGTGTACAGAAGAGATCTTTAGGATCATTCTTGTTGTTGTTAAACGTTCCCGAGCCACATGAGTGACCATTCCAGTTGTATTTAGTTAGCGGCAATGGGTAACTGGCCCCGTGGCAGGGTCAGAAGTCAGAAACCCAGGAGCTTTCTGAAGCCCTGTTCCCCGCTTCCTCTGTGCTGGAGCTTGTCCGAGCCGACCAGGGCCCAAGCTCAGCCCGTGGACCAGGTCCTCTCTTCAGTCCGGTCTATTCGGAGATTCATTTATACACTCAGCCCTCCATACCTTCAGATTCTGCTGATTCAACTACACACAAAGCAGAAATACCTAGGAGAGCTAAGTTCACCTGTTCTGAACATGAACACACATTTTCCTTGTCGTTATTCCCTAAGCAATGGGGAATCACTCCAGTTTACACAGCCCTGACATTGCATTCAGTGTTGTGAATAATCTAGAGGTTACCAAGGTGTGTAGGAGAGTGCACGCAGGTTGTATGCAAACACTGCTCCATTTTCCAAGAGGAACTTAGGAAGGCTCAGCTTGTAGCATCTGAGGGGTCCCAAGACCCAGCCCGTGGATACGGAGGGAGTGCCGTATTCCCTGTTCACTCAACCCGGAAAGACGTCACTGGGACCACACTGCCATTCCAGAAACTCTTTATTTTTAAGAAGAGCATCTGAAATATGTCATCTGCACACCAAAATGAGCACATCGCAAAAGTTATGTTTCTAAACATTAGATTTGCTTGCCAGAGAGCCGTGACACATTCTTATTATGAGGACGAGAGACATGGCAACCAGTTTGCTATTTATCTCTTTCAGAAAAAAACACATTTGTTGGCTGAGTCTTGATTCAGCTTCCCTCCCCTGTCCTGGGGGGCTGAGATGCACTGGAAATCAGGGTTTTGTTCACGTCCTTGTGCCAACACCAGCCATGGCAGCTGACACACACACAGTAGGCCTCGGTAAGTGGATTTAAATACTAGTCAAGTTCTGAGGTCAGAATAAAGGAAAGGGAAGAAAGGATGGGTGTTAGCCTCATTAGGACTTGAAAAACCGGCTCAATTCCCTCCCTTCCTTGCCCCCCAAGCTCTGTTTAAAGGGGGTGCTGTGTCCTCACCCCACCCTGGCATCTCTTCTGAGGGTTCAGTCTCCTCCCAACGTGTTCATAGAGATTTGCCAACAAGACCGTACTGATGAAATTTTAAATCAGTGTTTTCTACTTGCAAAACATACAAGAGTGTAAAGAGATGGCAGATGAGGCGTGTTCGTCTTGACTCTTCCTTGGTCCTTTTTACCTGGAAATCTTTCCTGCATCACAGATGCTTTTTCTAGAGCATCTGCCAAGCACTCATGACACACAGTTGTCCCTCAGCACCATGAGGGTGGGGTCCAGGCCCCAGGATTCCAGGCTCTGAGGTGCTCAGCTCATTTACACAAAGCAGCAGCATATTTGTGTATAACCTGCACACATGCTCGTGGCTGCTTTGTCGTGTGTAAAGGACTATAATGCCCAACACGAGGTAAACGCTGTGTGCATTCCTTGCATTGGCCAGGGAATGATGACAAGAAAGTCTCTACGTGGTCAGTAAAGACAGATTTTTTCTGAGTTTATTGAGCCGAAGTTGGCTGAACCTTAGGTAAGCAGCCAGGGGTGTGGAGGGGAAACTGAGTCCGAGCTGGGCTGGGAAGAGCAGCACACAGCAGCTCCCTGACCCCTTGCTGCAGAGCTCCCTCTGAGCATCTTACGCTCTTGCATCTGGCTTTGCCATTTTAGTGGCTACTTTTCTGTCCACCCTCTAAATCGAGTTTTGATCCTTCCTAGGCATCGCACCCCCTACACTGAGTTTTACGCCTTCTTATCAACCCTTAGGCTCTCCTGCCTCATCTTCCAGCAACTTCAGGGCGTGTCCTACACCTGGCCTCAAATGAGCTGCTCAGGCATCACGGCCAAGACCCTGAGGTGTCTGAACCCTTCCCTGTGCCGGGGGCCACTCGAGTCTGAAGGAGGCAAGGATGTCACCAGCCTCAGAGGGGCAGGGGCAGGGCCACCCACTAAGTCACTTGGCCAGTTACATAGCAAGTGAATAATGAAAGCGCACTTCACGTCCAGGCTTCCTGACTGCAAAGCCCCGCCCTCCACCACACACAGCCAGCGTGCGTGCGTGCGTGCGTGCATGTGTGTGTGTGCATGTGTGTGTGCGTGCATGCAGTTAGCCCTCCACATCCTTAGGATTTGCACCTGTGCTTTCAACTAACAGAGGATTAGTCCCTAAACAATACAATACAATGACTATCTACATTGTGTTAGGGGCTGTAAGGAATCTAGAGATTTAAAGTACATGGAGGCTGCATGGAAGCTATATGCGAACACTGTGCCGTTTTACATAAGGGACTTTTATACACACACACACACACACACACACACACACATCCGTATTTAAAGCATGGATTACATCTGTATTGTTGAGAATTTGAAACACCCGCACTCTATCACCCAGAGCAGTCCTAGAAGCAGTACCAAGGGAAATCCCTGGATACTCAGTGGCTACGATGTGTCCAGTGGCAGTCTGCAATGAGGCCCTGGTGAGGATTTGTTAGTTCAGTGAGGGAACATTCACATCTCCCAGTCCATCCTTTCTGGGTGGCAGCTGGTAAATGCATGTAAAGCGGTGGCCCCAGCATTTAGAAGACTTGGAAACCAATAGCAGGGGATAAAAAGAGATTAGTGCATTGATCACAGGACACAGGACATGTTCTGAAACCCTATTACCCACAAAATCCTCTCATTCTGCTTTCTGGATAATTAAAATAATTGATTCAGAGGGCAAAAACAATGCAGGTTTGGATGTGCATTATGTGTGGAAAGCCTGGAAGCTATTTTTATCACTTCCCCTCTAACCCCCTGGCTGTTTAGCAAACCTGATGTTCAGTCACCAAGTTTTATTACATTAGAAAGCTGAGGAGCCTGACAGTGTGCTTTCCATTCGGCACTAAATCCTGACGTGTATTTTCTTAGACCATGAGCGAGCAAGTTACACAAAAGACACCACTGTGTGGAACCCAAGTTAAAATTGTATTTGAGCTGCTGTCTCAGAAGCTATCGTAGAGTTGACTTCAGGTACAAAACCAGGGCTCCAAAAACCTAATTTTTAAAAGAAATGTACCAAGCACCCTTGTACTAAGATGGTGTTGCCTCCAGAATGCTCGCGCAGAGCAGAACTGCAGGCTGTGGCTCAGGAAACTAAACCGTGACCTACATTTCCAGCATTATCAGGCCACTTGTCACACTGTCCTTACCTAAGAAAAAGGGATAATGCACAAAATTAACTTGAAAGAGCCATGGCTTCGCATGGAGGCTGACGTGTGTGCGACTTTCTGGTGGAAGTTTCCACTTTGGGCCATCTCAGTGTGGGGGGACCCTGGGGCGGGGACCTCTGTCCTGCCCACAGAGAGGACCCCAAAGAAAGGAGACAGGAGAGGGCAGGGGGCGGAGGAAGTCCTGTGGGACCATCCAACTGTACCCCACATCCAGGCCCAGAGAAGACAGGCTCAGAATGATCCATAGCTGTCGCCTGCAAGAATCTGAAAGAAAAAAAAAAAAAGACACCTCAAAACTTACGTAAGGGACTAGGTGATTTTCTGGAAAAGATTCATTAGCATTTAAATAACAAGCTTCACTTATTTAAGCTCCACTTATCAAGTCAATAGTGCCTGGAAGACAGTTAGCCTCCTACCCCTGACGATGTTTTTCTGTGCTGTTGAGGCCCTCTCTCCTAGCATTTGAGAGGAGAGACACAATTACCATTTATACCTTGTTGTGCAGACCAGAGGGCCCGGCACTCTAGCATAACCCATTTGCATTCTAATCAAGGCCAGAAATACATCTTCCAATAAAGTCTTCCTTGGAAATTTGCAAGTAAAGGATGAAATGTGTCTAAAAATCGATGCCCCAGTGAGTAATGCACCAAGAAGGAGCATTTTAATGACCCAAGAAATCTCCAAATGTATCATTTTGGGTGCCCTTTTAAGGCTCCTCTGCAGCTTTGTGGAATGATGGATTGGTCCAAAGTCCACTACCCAGAAACTTGCCAAGAGGAGAATCTTCCATCTCCACAGGAAGTCTTTCCCCACTCCCCCGTGTCCAGAGTTCATGCTCCAGCATGAGTTACAAACAAGCAGTGGTCACACAGACAACACTGTGTAAACTCCAATGGCCACATAGCTGGCAGCGCCTGAACTGAAAGGCAGAGGTTTGGGTTGGGAGCCACTTCTGTCACCTACTTACTAGCTGTGTCACTTGTCTCTCGGGTGCCATTTCTCATGGATAAAGAAACCTAAGGCTGTGGGATTTCCTTCAGGAAACTCTGGGTTCTAGAGATCCCTGTGGGCTGTGTGGATGAATCCATGAGCCCTGCTCACGAGACCAATAGCTAAGCCAGCCCAGCCCTGTCACAGCCAGGGCCCCTCTCAGTTTTGCGCCTTTGAAGCCACTGCATTCATGCTGAGCAGTGAAGAGCCTGCTGTGTTCGGAAGAGGCCTGCCCATGTTGAAATATAAGTGCATAGATTCCCATTTGAGAATCAAAGGATTCACAGGGGGAAAAGACCCCGGTGGAACCATCGGCTGCCTTCAGGCTGGGCCCCAGAAACATCATCCGGGTAACTCAATCTGTGTCCTTTTCCACCCAATTCCAAAATGGCAGCCCTTTGGCCCACTCCAAGATCCCACCTTCTTTGCTGCCTGAAGTTCCTATTCTCAGCTCCCCAGAGTCAAATTCAGTCCACTCCACCCCCTTGCTGCCTTAGCTGTCAGATTCAGAGAAAACAAAACCTGCCCAGCAGCAGCCTTGCCACACACAGACTTCTGCGTTGGGGGATGCCGGGCACATGACACCCGAAGGCCATCTAACCATCTGTCCTCCATGTTCCCTAATCTGAGTCATCTTTGCCAGTGTTCAGGTAGTTCCATTGGAGAGACAGGCTCCTGTGTGTGAAGGGCTGAGACAGTGTTGGGGCAGGATGTGGGCCCTTTTAGCTTGGCACTCAGTTAATAAATAAGAGAGTTGCAGTTGAAGCCACGAGTACACACACACAGCAATAACTGGAGACCTCAGTACTGTATTTGTTTCCTAGAACTGCAGCAGCAAGGTGCCACAGCCTGGGCAGCTGGAGAGAAGAGAGAGTTGTGGTCTCCAGTTCTGGAGGCTGGAAGTCCAAAATCAAGGTGTCCCCCAGGTGAGGCTCCTTCTGAAGCCTGTTGGGGAGAATCTTCCCAGCCCCCTTCTAGCTCTGGAGAGATCGCCTTGGATCCTTGGCCATCCTCGGCTCCAACCTGCAGCACTTCCGTTTCTCTTCCACCCTGGCATGGTGCATTCCCTCCTGGGTCTGCCGCTGCTTAGGCACCGGTCATACTAGACGCAGGTCACCCTACTCCAGCATGACCTCATCTTAAGCAATGACACCCAAGGGACTTTCAAGATCTCACACTGAGTGACCAGGCTTGGGAGTCAGACATACCATTTGGGGAAACACATTTCACCCTGTAACAACACTTTAGGAAGTACACCCACCGTGTTTGAGCACCTTTGGCCAAGCACGCCCCTGGATTTCACAGAAGATGCTGGTTCTCGGGAAGTTTAAATGAATGTGCATCAGGTAACAAAATAATTAAGGGTCACGCCAAGGCCCAGAGCTTCCACTTCTGCACTCAGATAAGTGCTCTTCCCCTCCAGGGCTTCCTCGTGCGTAAGTATTGGATGCGTGTGAGCCACGGGGAAAGGGGAACAGCGCTTCGCACAGGAAAAGCCAAGCATGGCTTCCTGGGGAGCAGGGAGGGCTGAGTGGGGACAGCTGCCCCGCACCCCGACCCTGCCCGCGGACGGCTTTCTCCTGGAGACGGTGACCCTGTGCTTGGTCTTCACAGATCCCACCACCCGGAGGAACGCCAAGGCAGGGCCTGCTGCCCGGAGCCGCTACGCCAGCCAGTGGACCCTCAACAGGCCCCACCCCACCATCTCTGCACACACCCTCACCACAGACTGGAGGCTGCCCACGCCCAGGGCCGCGGGCTCCGTGGACAAGGAGAGCGACAGCTACAGCGTCAGCCCCTCGCAGGACACAGGTGCGGCTCTGGGGACGCAGGGCGCAGGGCTGACGTGCGCTCACTCCCGTGCCTTTGCTCGTCCCCTCCCACCCACTGGAGGGCGAGAGCTGTCCCCAGGCCTCTCCCGCATGACTGCCACAATGGTCCGGCTTCCTCTGAGCTCGCCTGACCCACCTCACCTCTGGCACACCGAGGTGCGTCGCAGCTCCCTGGGCAGGGGCCATGGGCTGATCCCGATGCAGAGGCAGAGCCAAGAGGTCAGCATCTCATCTGCAGCCCCAGACTCAGGAGAGCAGGCTTCACTTCTGAGAGAAGCCAGGGCCTAAGAATAGCGCTGTGTTGCCCACCACCCTCCTTCAATTCTGAGAAGAGATTATATCTGAACCTAATTGCTGCAGGAAATGTTAATGCTCCTTTTTCTCTTCTTCTTGATGATACCCTTCAAAAGCAGGCTTCCAAAGGTGGCGCATCACTGCGGGAATTTATTTTTATGTCTGTTATTCCTTTTCGATTCTCAGAGTTCCAAAGAGGTGACTTCAAAACTTTTCAGTCAATTTAAAATGCAGGGATTTCCCTGACCAAGATGCTGTGGCCGGGTGAAGGGCACATTTGTCCTGGTTTTCCTCCTGCCTGCTTTCTAGTCTCTGGGAAGGGAGCAGCAGGAAAAGATGAGTCCCGGCGCCCGGGCCACTCTGATAGTGGCCACTTTCCCTCCAAGCCCCAGCTTCATTTGGAAGCCGACTCACGCCCGCCTTCCCAGGTGGAGGCCAGCAGAGCTGCAGTGCGGAGCTCCCGCCCCTGCCAATTAAAGCGTCTCCCAGGTGCAGATGGATTCGCAAGTGGGGGCGGGTGCTGCCTGGACTGGCCCCACACCCCCGCTCTTTGCAGTAGAAGCAGATCCCCTCCTGGGGATGCATGAATTATTCATGGAATGTCCGAGGCGGGGTGGCAGACTGCAGTAATTCCACTGCAACAGGGGTTCCCTGGATGAATGTGCTGAGGCTTCCGCGATGAGCCTGAGTGACGAGAGACAGGGACCGGGAAGAGGGGTCAGAGCTGGGAGGACGATCCAGAGGCCTCCAACTTAGGCCAAAGCTGAGTCTCCTGCCCCTCTCCTCTTCCCGGTGCAGATCGAGCGCGGAGCAGCATGGTCTCCACAGAAAGTGCCTCCTCCACCTACGAAGAGCTGGCCCGGGCCTACGAGCACGCCAAGATGGAAGAGCAGCTGAGGCACGCCAAGTTCACCATCACCGAGTGCTTCATCTCAGACACGTCATCCGAGCAGTTGACGGCAGGGACAAACGAGTACACGGACAGTCTGACCTCCAGCACCCCCTCGGAATCGGGGATCTGCAGGTTCACTGCCTCTCCCCCCAAACCTCAGGATGGAGGGCGAGTGATGAACATGGCAGTTCCAAAGGCACATCGGCCAGGTGAGGGTCGCGGGCCACTTCGGGGCATCATTCCCGGGCTCACTCAGCTGTTCCAAGAGCTCTCCTGGCCTTCAGACCCGGTGGTTGGGGCGGGGGGCGGGTGCTGTGTAACAAATTGGCCCCTTATTTTGCTCGTTTGTGTTGCTCATGCATCTGAGATGCGGTCAGAGCCCAGCAAGGACAGCAAGTTGGGCTGAGAGAGATGCATATCCCTATCCAAAGTGGCTCACTCACCTGGTGAGTCCATGCAGGTGGTGGCTCCCCAAAGAAGTCTGTCTGCTCAGTGACTTGAGTGTCTTCATATTGGGGTGGCTTAGTTCTAAGAACAAGTTGTCCAAGAGACAGAGAGTGGAAATAGCAAGTTTCTGGGGTTGGCCTGGAAGTGGACTGTGTTACTGTATCAAAATATCAGATGCTGGATATTTTATAGAACAAAGAGATTTATTTGGCTCACAGTTCCTGGAGCCAGCGTGAGCTCAGCTCTAATGAGGATCTCATGATGTCCAGCATCACAGTGAGCATCCACAGGGGAGGAAGTGATGTCACAGTGAGACAGGAAGCCAGAGCAGGGGAGCTCTCTGGAGAAAAGGCACTCAGGGTTTCATGGGAGCCACTTTAACCCGCTGCATGGGAAGCACCTCCAAGACCCAGTGACCTCCTACGAGGCCCCACCTCTTCAAAGCCCCCCACTTCCTAACATGACCACACCAAGAACAGAGCTTCCAACACACAAGTCCTTGGGGATGCACTCAGACCGAACCCAGAACATGGCCAGGACCCAGCACCACGCCTGCCCCATCCTGCTGTCCACACAGCCACAGAGCTCCAGTTCCAGATCCCAGAGCAGGAGACACCCCTCCTTCCCCTGCTTGGTGAGGGGAATGTCAGAAAGGCAGCACTGTACTGTAGGGCCACTGCAGTGAGGGCTCTGGGATGGTCATGGGCCTCAGCTGGAGCTTGGCTTCCCCCGGAGGCTCAGAACGGGAACTGGCAAATTTGGGTCAGCTGGCAGTTTGATCTTCAATGTGGCGGGGTACAGATAGTCTGGGTTTGTGAGTGAGACCTGCAAGCGCATGGTCTCTGGGGACTGGCAGGTAATGTAAATGAGCAAGGAGGTCCAGCAGGGGCAGTCGAACGAGAAGGCCCAGGACAGTGTAAGAGTTCATGGGTGGCCTAAAAGTTCACGGATTCTCTGGAGGAAAAGGACCAATGAGGTCGTGCAGACTGACCGCAAGTGGAAATGGCGGCCTCATCTGAGCTTGTGTTTTAAGAGAAGCCAGAAATGATGGTTTTATGGAGACCTGCCACTTTCAGTGTTGGCTCTGCTATTTGCAAACCACTGCACAGCACAAGTCAAACAAGCCTTCAGACTGAATCCAACCCACGGTGGCCTTGTAGTTCTCGTCTGAAGAATCATTTTTTTTCTTTTACAACCTGAAATAGCTAGCTGCCTGTAGACTTTCCTTTGTAGATCATCCATTCTTGTTAAATCCAGTTTTATTTCTTGTTTTACCCATTTTTCAAACCCACTAGGCTGGTTTTATTTCAAAAATTTATCTTCACTTTTGAATTATTGCAATTTTCTTGGGCTTTATGGCATAAGGCCAGGCAGAAATGAGTCTTATAAATGCATAAAAATATATATAAAAAAAGAATTGTCTATCCTGCAAGTAATCTTCCAAATGGACTCCAGAGTCATGCCAGCATACAATAACGAATGATGGCTTCATTTATTTTCTTTCTGTCTACCTCCACAAAGGGAAGGATGAGCTGTTGTTTGTGGGTGTTTTTATTTCAAGTATTTTTGTCGTTGCCATTTATTTGCAAGGCAAATGCAGAAGAGTACAGGATAAATGCCATGGCTTTTCGTAGCTGCTCAGCCTGAGGATGAGAAGGACAGAGAGTAGAAAATGGGCCAGTGGACGTTTTGTGCAGCCCCACTCAGCTTCAGCAACTTCATCTGTAAAGTGAATATAGCATTGGTTCCTACATATTGAGTTTGTGCAAGAGGCAGGTAGCATTAATCAGGCAAAGGAGTGTGCTAGGCAGCTTCTCAGCTACTGTGGCAAAATACCCAAGGGAGACGACATGAAGGAAGAACAGTCTGCTTTGGCTCATGGTTTCAGAGACTTCGGTGCATGGCCTGCTGGCTCCAAGGCAGAAGCATCCTGGCAGGAGGGCATGCTGGAGGAAGCTGCTCGCCTCATGGCAGCCAGGAAGGGGGAGGGGCGAGCGTGGGCTGGGAACAGAAGGTACCCTTCCAAGGAGCTGCCCCAGGGATCTGCTTCCTCCAACCAGGCCCCACCTCCTGAGCACCCATTCAGCTCTGAGCTCATCAATAGATGAGTCCATTGACAAGGTCTACACCCCCATGATCCAGTCACCTTTGCAAGCCTCACTTCTAAGCAGTGTTGGGTTAGGGACCAAGCCTTCAACACATGAGCTTTTGGGGGAACGTTTTAGAAACAGACCATAATGAGCAGTCAGCAGAGAAAGCGCTCGGCTGTACTGGTTGCTGATTCTGCTGGCGTCATGTTGAGCTCATTGTTAGCATCCGGTTGAGGGCTCCAGGTGTGCACCCAGCCTCTCTTCCTCCCTGCGATCATTCACTTCAGGGGCCACTGAAGTCCTGAAAGTGCCCATCCCCTTGAGCATCACCCTTCACGCACTTTCTGCCCACTCTGTGCAGGGACATGGCCACCCTTCCCCTGAGTGTGACTCAGCATGGGATGAGCACCTAAGTTGGGTGACTGCCCTACCTGTGCAGGCCTTGTAACAAATAAAGGCTTGACATTTCTCTTGGAGACGTGTTGTCCATATTGGTGGACTAATATTTTTTCAAAGTTTGTACTTTATTGCCTGGATCCATTAGAGGGGCTGAAAGATCACAACAAAATGACTATCGGCTTAATGTATTATTTAGAATAAAGTCATTCTAGAACTTTAGGTATGAATAATTTCTTAAATCAATGTGAGTTCTCATGTCCACAAACCTTGTTTTATCTACCCCCAATGACTGTACTATTATTGTGCATTTAAGATGCTTTAGAAAAATAATTCACCCTTGGAAGTTTTTCCATTGCTTCTTTATAATTCAACTAGAGTCCACGTGGTACATGGAAATGTTCCAGAACAACCCAGTCCCATTGTACGGGACAGGACTGAAGCCACCGTGAGACTAAAGAAAAGGGGCAGACAGCTCTATCACTGCATAGAGTGGTGTTTTGTTTTGTTTTGCTTTTTGTTTTGTGGGGCTGAGGATGGAAACCAAGGCCTTCACACCGAGCTACATCCCTGGCCCCTTTTTATTTGTTATTTTGTGACAGGTCCTTGCTAAATCATTTATTAAATCCAGATTGGGCTCAAAATTGAGTGCACTTTTCTTGGGGACCTGCTGACAGAAATGTGGTCCTGGTGGCAGGAAAACCTGTTGGATCCCTGTGATCTGGGTCAGAAAGAGAGCAGCACGTTAAGTTCATCCCCACCCCCGTGCCTCCCTGGTGTATTTCAAGCTAATATCAGAAACTCGGGCACATTGCTCTGGGGTCCAGTCAAGAGCTCCACGTACCCCTCCAGTGGTTTTGCCCATCTGTAGATCTCTGGGAAACTGCATACTGACGGAAAACCAGTCAGGGCCTCTCCGTGCAGTCACGGCAGTTACAGTTCAAGATGGCCTCAGTCACATGAAGCAGAGTCATGCAAAGCTCAAGGCTGTGGTTTATCCTGACGCCGATGGGGCATGTGGGTAAACTACCAGCAACTTGGTGGTGCTTCTGAACCCCACCCCTTCCCTGTGTCCCCTCTGGGTTGAGGCCAGCCTCAGTGTGTTTCTGCTCACGGTCTTCCAAACTTCTGGACAGCTTTCTCCTCACGATGAGCTCTTCCTCTTCTTGGTGATCCCCACCCTCACTTACAAGTCTTCAGTACAATAATCTCAAGCTTTGATGATCCCCAGAATTGAAGTTCACTACAATGAATTGCACTCAAGTTACATGAACTTGACCAGAGTGTAAAACAGGAAACATCTTAGTTACCTTCATCTCAGTCTCTCAGGGTCCACCAGGTATCCAGTAGGCTCACAGGCCTCAAGAAATATTTTTCCATGCACCGATGGTATCGGATATACAGTCACCACTGTGTCTGGCACTTTGTATGTCCTTATAAACATTTTGATGTGAATGAATATCTCATGGTCATGCAAGATTAACCAATTAGCTAAAATGTTTTAATCATCAGAGAGCCAGGGATTTAGTGGTGCTGTGCCTGCCTCACAAGTGTAAGGTCCTGAGTTCAATTCCCTGTACCAGAAAAAAAATGTATATATGTAAATGTCTTTTAATTATCAGAGATGATTAGCCAAGTACAAGAGGACATACAAGTCCCCTCCATCTCCCAGCATACGTTTAATCAAGAAATTTATTTTCTAAAATTTCCCTTAACAAAGCAAGAGGAAATCGCTTCTACAGATAGTGGGGGCCCCCAGGAAATGTGGATAACTAACCATCAGGCAAACATCACAATCTAGCTGTAGATTTGAATTTTTAAGACTTGTACATTTCAAGTAAAATGTTGGTTATTGTTTTCTTCAACTACAGGTGGTGGTTTCCACCTTAAAACCATAAAACCATCAAAACTCCCCATTCTTCTGAGGAGTCACTGGAAAGTTTAGCAGCTTTTCTTCCTGTGGGTTAGGGCAGCCTGCAGTATTTCAATTACAGGGCCTCCTCTTGGTTTTGGGTAACACTGTGAGCCAGTTTCTAAAATTCTTGGATTACTACTGCTTCCTTATTCATGCTCTTATCCTGCACAGTGGAGGGGTGCCACTGCAGGAAGCTCTTACGTCAGCTTAGAGCCCCCAGGGCGCAGCTGCATGCAGCCTGGCCTCCCCGGAGATGTCCGCGTGTCCACTCTCCGAAGCCGAGGTTTGAAGTCCTGCACCTCAGCCTCACCAGTAGTGAATGCGTTTGAGGTTTTTCGGGCTGGAAATGGCCATCATTTGCCACCAACTTGTTGATCCGCTGATGACCAGCGATTTGCAGCAGTTGCTGGATTTTGATTTAAGACCTATGTGTGCGTCGTTCATGAGCTCGGAGAGAGGTGGTACCAGCAAGCAGACAGGCCTGTGCCCCGCCCAAAGCAGCCCTCCCCTGAAGAGGAGCCGACCTCTGTGCCACTTGGCACTGTTCTCGTCTCGCCTGGCCGTCTCGTCCTCACCTGTCCTTCTAGTGCCAGTTTCCCTCTATGAAGTCTGTGTGGCTCTTGAGTTGGCTCTTGAATCAAAATTAGGCTCCAGAAACGTCCACTGCCAAGTAACCCATCCCCACCCTCATCCCCTGCATCAGCCTCACAGCCTGAGGGTGGGCACTGCTCCTGCCAGCTCACCTGCCCAGATGCCAGCTCCCACCAAATGCCAGGGCTTTGCCCCTCGTTCTTCTCAAACAATAGTGTCTGCTTCCTTCTCCTTTGGCCTCCATCCTCCTCCCTCTTCTCTTTTGGATGCTGCCGTAATTCCACTCTGACTTTGCAATGGTGAATGTTGCTCTATGAGCTGGGACAAGATCTCCTCTCAAGTGCAAGGGCCTTTGATACTCCCTGTGTGCATAGGCACACACGCATACACACATACACGAGCAAACACACATGTGCATGGGCCTGTGCACAGATGCATTTGAACATGCATGTATAGCGTGTGGCATGAGCAGGAACACATGCGTGTGTCATGCATGTACATACACTCCGTCTTGCTGGGCTCCACGCCCCAGAGCCCTGCTTCTCTCCCAGCCACGGTACTTTCTTTCCCTCTT